TACTTTCATGGTCATATTAACTATTCTTCTTCTAACCTCAACATAGTGATTTAATTCAACTATATCAATAATTTTTCTACTCAAGCACTTAAAAATTCGTGCCATGTTTGTTTCTCTATCCTCCTTGATATTTACTTGAATAATGACTATCTCCATTTACTTGTGATAATCTTTAACTTGTTTAGACCCTTGAGTGAGCCTTTATAATTTTTAATATAGATGAGTAGTTGATCCAACCAAACCAAAGCATAATCAGTAAATTCAACGGTTGTCAACTTCGCCTTCTTATCCTCTGTAGTTATGGCATTCAAATATCAACTTAACTTTTCACTCTTATTTTAGATAAGTTTTAGCATCATTTCTACTTTGAAGAGAAAGAATCTTCATCTTGATAGAATTAATGCTGTTGTCCTCCTTTCGGGTCTTCTTTATACTATTGACTCTTCACTATCTTCATTTACTTCTCTTTTTATTTCATCATCATTCAACATATTTTCTCTTCTCCGATTCTGCCTCCTTGGATTAGGATCACCTTATGGGCCTCGAAGGCTATTTGTATCACCTTTTATGTTATTTATGTCCCTATTATGCTTCTGAAATTGCCTTTGCATTGTTTCTAACATAAAAGTTATGTCATTCATAGTTATTTCACACTCCTTACTTACAGAATTTGACATGATGTAAAACTTGTAAGAAAGATTTAAGTGAAGAAAATTCTTCACAACACTCCCTAATGTGTTTCAGTCTTGAACAGATTTGTGACTTCTTTCGTGTTTCCACTCAGGATTTTGGCTTTTATCCTCTTCTACGCTCACACCCTCAAGCCTTTTAGCACTTTATTCTCTTCTTCAAGTTGTACTTCAGAATTAAAAATAACTCAATTAAAGTAAACAAGTAGTTGTTTATCTGACACTTCAAGGAATCCTAATGAATGAGAAGGTAAATAATTAATACTCGATGCAAATTAGATAAACAAGAACAAAATTTAAATACATAGATTAAGGTGAGTGTGTTTTTTAAATTAATTAAAGTAACTATGATGCAAGTAAGTACTTTTAATGTAATAGAAATAAGATTTATATAAAGAAACGAAACTAAGAATGCAAGAAAACAATTCTGGACTCATGATAATATAATTTAGATCACTCCCATTGAGAAATCTAAATATATAAACTTATAATATATTCCCAGTATAAGCTATACTCTAGAAAATAAAAACTATGCTATTGTGAGGTAGTATATGTGAAATGGATGCATTTTAATTAAGATGGACAAAATTAAAAGTTCAACGAACACACCTGATGCTCAAAAAAATCGATAAGTTTGAATTAATAATAGAAGCCCATTATGATATTTCTTTTCTTTTTTTTGTCTCTTTGTTTTTTTTACTTTTCTTTTGATTTTCTTTGTAAAATTTGGCTAACAAGAACAAAATATGAAAAGACAAATAACACATGATTGATGAATAAAAATAAGGTCCAACTAGAATTAAGAATAATAAAGATAGAAGTTTAATAGTCTAAACAAACAAGAATAAGAAGATAAACTTAGATAAATCAAACACAATTGATACCTAAATATTTATCCAAGACTAAAATCTAATACCAAACTGATGTGGAACCCAAGGATCAAAGATTACATCTGCAACCCCACATATATATTTAATATAGATAACTCAGATTCCTAAACAAATCCTTCATACCAAACCCACAACTAACCTGTAATTGAGAAATTGAGTGATTGAGTGATTGATATAAAAGAAACAAGAATGAATAAATACTACAAGATAACTTGATAAGTTAATTAAATTTTTGATGCAACAAGAAGAATAAGAATTCTCACTTGTTAAAGTTCTATGAAAGGCAATGAAATTCATTCAATAATCAAAATCTGCCATATTACATTGAAAATAAGATATTTATAGTATAAAACACTTATATTCTACCAAAGGATCATAATTAGATAACTTAGAAAAATATGAATAGAATTTAATTACCTAGGAAATGATTTAGGAAAATATGATATTAAATAAAATAGGAAAACATGATATTAAATAATTTAGGAAAATACGATATTAAATGACATAGAGAAACATGATATTAAATGATATAGGAAAATATGAATAGAATTTAATTATCTATGAAATGACCAAAATGATCTTAAAAATTCAGTCTAAATTACACCCACATACTTGGAGGAAATTAATGATTTTTTTTTGGCTCATTTGATTTTTTAAACAGTCCACATGTGCTAAGTTCTTGTTGTATCCATATTGTACAAAGTCTTGAAATGTATGTATTTACTTTTTGGCTTGAAATCTTGTGATTGGATCTGCTGACATTGTAATCTCTTCTTCATGCTTCTCTTTAATATCTTTTAAACTCATGTCCGCATCATACCTTAAAATTATAGTTTAAACCATATGATAAAATATCTAAACTATTAAATTGGTTCATAAATAGAATTATGAAGAAATCAATCTTTTTACTGAGGTTTTAATTTAATTCAACATGTAAAAGATTGACTTTTAAAAAAAAAAATATGTAAAGAATTCAATTTGTTAGTGGAAGATATTGCTTATATATGGAATCATTTTAGTTGTTTTAGTTTTGTTTAATGCTTAGAAATTATAATTAGATAACTTATGGTTATGGTAAAGTTACAACACCAGCTAACACATGATCTTTATTTGATTGAATTTATTGTCTATTTTAATTTAATTTGTTAAATATATATTATTTTACCGCATCAAGAAAATGTTAGTAAAGTTAGTGCATTAGTAGAAAAGTTAGCGAACGAGATTGTATGCCTTTGATAATCATGATTTGTATAAAAAAAAAATGTATAGATTTGAATTAAAAGTATAAAATATAGAAAATAATTTTTTTTTTATTTTTATTAATTTTTAATAAACAAAATTAAAAAAAAAAATATTTCAATAATGTAAATTTAATTAGCATTCAATGGAGTCCGGCTTAATTTTAAAATGATAAACGCCCTATCCAAAAAATGAGGAAGTTTTGATAATTGACAGTGGGGATGAATCTCCATGGGTCCCATTAATGGTGCCCAAATTTTTGTAACAAAATCTCATTTTATCAAATTCATTCCTTTGTACATCCACTTCTGATTTTACGATGTCTGTCTTTTATTGAGTACATTATTCTCTCTTTCCTTTCTGCAATCTATGTTTCTTCTTTTCAAATGTTTCTCAACATTATTTATATCAGAGCTAGGTCTGAGGGAGTCTTCCACTAAGTTTTGTGAGAGCTTTTTGACAGGACGAGTGATCTTGGCGGAATCAAAACGCTAAACAATCCAAGCTAAAAATTCTTCGTCTATCCGAATCCGAATAATAATAGACGTGAAATTTCACAACCGGAGGCAGATAATGCAAGTGGTGCGTTACGAAAATAGAAGATAAAAGGAGACAAAGCAATATTCATTTTGAAGACTACAATAAAAAAAATATTAATATTCAAAATGTAGTTAACTTTTTTTATGTTAAAAAATGAAAGAAAATTAATTTGTTTAGAAATTAATTATGCCATATCTTAAGGTTATAGTTTAAACCAAATTAGAAAATACCTAAACTACTAATCAGATTCATAAACATATTGACATTTATAAACAAATCAATCTTTTTACCGAGTTTTCATTTAATTCAACATGTATAAGATTCAATTTGTTGCTTATATACGGAATCGTTTTAATTGTTTTTCATTTTGTTCAGTACTTATAAATTGTAATTAGATAACTTACAGCCTAAGTAATCAAATCTTATGAATAACTGAAACATATTTGATTATTGTTCAAGAAATTCCTGAATTTTTGGCCTCCATGCTCTTTTGGTACACACATATAGAGCGTTAATAAACAAGGTACTACGTATCCCTTATATTTCCGTAATCGGTTTTATTAAAGGGAATTCCCTTTTGCTCCTTGCAATTTCTCACCAGTTTGAAACTCATCAAATTGGCTTATCGGTTCAAGATTTGTCTGGAGATATTTGTCTGTTCCGTTACGATAAGCAATTCATACAGTTTCCTCTGTCTTGAAAGATTCTGCGGCTATAATAAGGTCATATTATTTTATTTTTTGAAATAAGTGGCTATAATAAGCTCATATACACCTAATATTAATACATATATCCAATATCTGGATAAAACCAGTGCACAAGGTTTACACAAATCACCATCAAATAAGTTGTTCAGATAGTTTCCTTCTGCGACACCACCCAGCAACACAAACTTCCCACATCTTTTTGTATTCAACGAACCATTAAGTGAAGACAATTAAGTTGTTCGTTGCATTATAAAATAAATCTCATGACATAGCACTAGATCCGGGGGCAGGGGTGTCTCTCATTGCGCTTGCAGGAAGGTAACTAACACCAGTTTGACCATGATTCATAAGAACTTGGAATTCTCCTGTTTTAAGTGACTTATTTTGAATGAAGATTGGTCTTCTAAGTTGTGTATATGCACAATAGTCTACTTCATATACAGTCACGTCTTTCAAGAATGCAGAAACTGCAGCCCCAACTCCTTCCCCTGCATTTCAATTTGAGGGTTAGATCTTAACAACTTCACTTGGATTTGAGGTGCTGAATGGAATAGAAAAACAATTCATATACCTTCCTCTAACCACACAAAGGCAACATATTACAAAGAGAAAGTGACTAGCTTAACTAGTCACTTGTAGCGTGCAAAAACCTTGATAACATCATGCTAATATACAGGTGGAGAGGGATAAGATTAAGGCCCCAGAAAAAGAGTAACCGTCCATTTGGTAAGCACAATGGATATATATGGGCTGCCTGGGAGGAGCAATCATCTAAAACATTATAGTAAATAAAAGACTTGTACAAAAGACAGCTTTGGGAAAAATTAGGGGTTAGGTTGTTTAGGTTATCTTGTTATTGTTTGAGTGTAATTAAATTATTGGTCCTAAAAGTTAAGATTTTATAGGTTAGATTGAGTATATGCTTGTTAGAAGTAATCTGGAAAAATCTTAATTGATTTTCTAGTCTTAATAGGAGCAAAGTTAGAAGCCTATAAATTTTACCCTTAGGAGTCTGTAAATATTTTATGTAAACACTAAGAAAGTCAGATTATTATGGGTTTAAGTTAGTTAGGAAAATGATTTTTCTCCCTATCTTCCTTGGCTTTTGGATCAGATGATTGAAGCCTTTTTTAAAAACTCTCTCTATTTTGACTGTACAAAGTTATCGCATACAAAACTAGTATATGACTGTACTAATGTTACCGAATCCTTCAATTCTTTTTTGTTAGGAAAAGATTACAGATGCCTAATCAATGTTAGCGTAACCAAAAGATATAGTTTTAACCAAGAGATACTTCAATGGCATGCCAAAGGAGAAAACAACATTATTTTACTTCGGATACCAATTCTCAATCTGTTGGTGAAGCTTTTGCGGTTTCAACCAAAATTTGCTCAATCATGGCATTCCCAGAGGTTATCTGTCCAGCACTTCCTTACAAATGCTTGGGATTAAATCACAATGGGTGCATACACTCAAGAAAACCAGAACAGGTTAACACTAAGTGTCAAGGTAAGATAAGATATCAGCAAGAAGAGTCGTATGTTTTATTTGCTTAGGAGAATTATCCTCTCTATTTTCCTGGGTTTTTTTTACAGATTATTAAAGTCTTTCCTTAAATGTGCAACCCTACTGCCTATTCTCTCTCAAAATTTCTCTCTACTATTGCTGCATCGCCTCCCCAATGAAACACTGGATGAATTCTACTTGTTTATTGCCAAAAGAATGTATATATATGCTTGAAGGGAAGTTACATTAACCAAAAGCTAATGTATAGTTACACTTACCATGTGTCACTAGCAGCAAGTTCTCTGTGGGGTATTTATCAGCAAGTTTCTTAATGACATTCACATATCTAGCCCTAGCACCCATCACTGTCTCTTCCCACTTCGGCAACTGAACGATCCTCATGCACAAAATTGATATATTAGGCTTTCTATATATACTCCCAACTTGTAGTAAATGCTAATGCATTACCATCCCCATGCAGAGGACTTATATATATCCTATATATACGTATATATGCATAAGACTTTCTGTTCAAAACACAACAACTTCTAGTAAATGTCAGGCAAATATATGGGATGCATGATTGATGATCATTACCTCCTTATACACTGGTTCTACAGTGTCATCTACCAACCCAGCCGGCTGCAGAGCTTCAAGCTCCGAGATACTGAAACCAAAATCCCCATTCTTAGGTGCCAAATCAGGTCTAATAGCTTCCCTGTTCAACATCTCACATAATCCATACTCGATAGATACCTATAAAGAAAACAAATCAGAAATTGGATCCAGGGGCTTAACCAATTGGAGAAAAACCTAATTCAATTGATATCAAACTAAATAAACCAACCACCATGAATTAACAAAGAAATATTGAACTTGTAACATAGCAAGATGGAATAGCATGCTATCAAAACCGTATCTCCAGATCAAGTCGATAAATAATGAAACCTTGAGTTTGGATGGATCAATAGAAAGGACGTCGGTGGAGGACATGGCATTGGCGTCGTCATCAATGGCGCAGAGCGCAGCAATGACTTGCGAGGCGGTCTGTATGCAGCGAATGAAAGGGGAGACGAAGACTCGGTGGATTGGAGGCCTGATCTGAGCTCGGAGTTTATGGCCAGTGCGGAAGGCTCGGACCAGACCGTCGTCAATCAAGGGTGGGTCCCAGGGCCTGGTCGCCGTCGACACCCAGAGCGGCTCGAAGTTGTCGATGCGGTCACCATGACGCATTACGACGACGTTTTGGTAGTAAACATCATCGTCCATGGTTTCTGCTCTCTGTTAATTTGCAGAACTCCAGTCAACGGCTTAAGATAACACAAAACTCTTTTAGGCCTTTGACAAGTAATTTGATTCGGAATTTCCTGCTAAAAAAATTGAAATGGATTTATCATTTTGATCATGTATATTTTTACTTTATTATTATTATTATTTTTTTTCTAAAAAAACTTCCAAACATTTAACGCAACATTTAGTATTTGTATGTACTTAAAAATATTGTTATATAATATAATATAATATAATATAATATAGTATATATAATTGGATTAATGAACTATTATCAAACTATTGAATGTATATGTATTAAATTGAATAAATACTTAATCGTTTAAATAACCACTCTCATTTTGCCCATGATTTTTGTTTTCAAATTTAGGTTAATAAGGGTAATATCTAATATTTATTCACAAAATTTATATTATAAATTAAAGATATAAGAATCTAATGGTTATAGAAAATATTTTTATATTACTTCAATATTCTTGTTAATATTATACTTTTGTTTGATGGATATTTGAATGTTATTAATGAACATTCATGACTGATTTAATATTTTCCGATTATCATATGGAAAGATTTAACCCAATATTTGTTTATGATATCTTATTGTATTCGAACAAAATATGTCATATATACGTAAACTTTTTTTTTAAAAGTAAAAAATAATATTTGAGTGTGTGAATTAAAAGAAGTGAATAGTTTTTCAAATTGAGAAATAATAAAAAAATAAGATAGAGATTTATTCTTTAAATAAATGTTGAGTGGCACTTAATTGTGTAAAAATATAAGAGTCGAGTTCATAACACGCTTATAATTTGTAAGTTATTTTAATTATTAATATAAAATCAAAATTTAAGAAGAAGTTATTTTTATATCAACTATTCTACTAAGAATAAAAAAACATTATAAGATTAATCATTAATCCAAAAAAAAATAAATGAAGTAACATAATTATTTTCAAAAAATTATTTAAGTTTGAGGTAAAATAAATAAATAATTAGAAATAGTTCTTAATGTACCAGTAAGAGGCCGGAGGAGAAGAAATGACTACGTGCATGGATCTGATGAGAACTTCACGACCTCCACCAATTTGGATAGTATCATCTTGGCACTAGAATTCTAGATAGCTCATGATAGGAATGCCTTGGACTGACCACAAGTATTGGTGTTCGTGGCCCTAATGTAGTGTGGTTGGCCTTTTTATTGATTAGTTCGAGTTTAATATGGATGGCTCAGTCTAAGGTGACCCAATAGGTGTAACATTTCAGATACTTGGTGGGATATAAGGGTGTTTGATAATAAAAACAGATACAAGTGCAATAAAAATATATATACAGTAGAAATTAGAAATTCCTTACAATCAAAATATAGGATGGATGTTTATACAACTAGGACCATCTAAGGGTCATCAAATAAATACACACAAAAAAGTTACTTAATTACAAAAATATTATCTATAAGAGTGCAGACAAAATAAGCATTCGTAAATACTCTAGAGATCCAAAGAGGGGTCGAAGTAAGATTCGAGTGGCAACACTACGGTCGCTCATCACTATCATCATTTGGGAGGTCCCAACATGGAAAGAGTGAGTTCCATGAAACTCAGTAAGAAAAATAGTATTAAAATTATACTGGTAAGATTTTAAAAGTTATTACCCTTAAATAAACATGTTTATCCAATAAATAACATACCTTAGAGGTCCATTGCGGAATGATAGATTTAAACATTTAGAAAAAATATTTGCTCTTTTAAGAAAATTCTTTAAAAGTATCAAACATAACAACAATTCGTAGAGACAGATAAAAAATAGAAAGTTATTATCAAACAGAGAAAAATCCTATGAAGAATAGGCAGAATCATGTTTTCAGTTAAAAACATAAGAAATAACAGTATATTTACGTCTTTTACTATTTTTTCGAACGAAATCGTTCCGACATATGTTTACTGAGGGCAAAAAGGATTTTCAACTACCACTGTGAATGACACCAGATCATATCATATCAGCAGGTTTCAGTGTGCCAAGGCTTAGCACGTTTCAGTATGCTAAACTAATATAAGGGTGGGATCTATGACCATGGTCGTAGGCCACCACTATGGTCCCTGCCTACAGTTTCACATATCTATTCTCATTAAAGGGAACATTTGTCATTCACAGAGAGCAGTTCACCAACAGATTTAGATTTAGAGATAGAAGCAAAATAGAGATGGAAATAGAAACAGAAATAATAACCCCTCAGAGATAATAACCTAACGAATTTTTAAGTATTTCCCCTTTCTCTTACTTCATGTTAATCCACAAATCCTCATATACTGAACTAGTGAGTTCTTTAAACTTATTTCGACACAAGACCCATCACAAATAGATTCCAACAAACATAAAATAGATCGGCACAATGTAATACAATAATACACATGCTTTTAAAATCAGATAAAATAGTAAACAATATCATGCACCATTATAGATCAGTTAATTTATCTAAAAAGAGCACTTAGAGGTATAAACAGAAATACAAGATCTCTTACCAACACTCGACGAAAAACTATATTCCTAGAAGTGGATAAGAACGGTGTTTTGCGTCTAGAACTCCTTTGGTGACTCCTATGATGTTCTCTTGCTTAGAACTCCACTTCTCTCTCTAAATGATGTAGAGAAAGAAGATGGAAGTGGGTGAAA